CAATGGATTCCAAAAAGACATGCATCTTAGGTCTCCAAAAAGCATAATTGGTTCCCTCCAACATTTGTGGTCTATTGGTAGACCCTCATTCACTAAATAAACTCATAGTAAACAAAATAGTGGTCATCACACAGGATTGATGTGGTCACACAGAACACAAAAGTGGTCACACGAGATATGTAGCAAAAAAACTGTAAAAAAAAAAAAAAATCAATAGCCACCAAATCAAGATTTAAGCGCGCGCGCGCGCATACACACACACACACACACAGACACAAAGCAAGGATCTACTAAAATAACTCTTCAAAACACGCTCTTATACCAATTAAAAATTTTAAACCCAATCAAATTGATTAAAACTTATGTGGAATTAAGATTACTTATTCACGTTGGGCTTAATGAGTTGACAAACTAATGATTAAACACAAAAATCATCCATGGCATAAAATAAAGCACACAACTCATTTTTACATGGTTCGGCAATCATGCCTACATCCATGGGACAAAGTCCAAAAGAAGCCAATCCACTATGAAATAATTATGTGTTCAATTACAAAGACGAGAACAAGTATCAGTTGTAAAAACTCCCTGTTTGGACAACACTTCAATCTTCGCTCTTTGGTTGAACCTCAAACCTTCATAGTCTAGCTTCTCCTCCATGGGATCACCAGGTTGCACTTGAGCTTCTCTCAAGTTTCAACAATGACGAATTACTTCGGCAGCAATAGCTCGAACATGTCCAGATCTCAACACGAAACATCGTTCTAGAATCAACTCATGCAAGCAAGAGATAGAACAAGGTAATTCAAAGACTACCAAAGCATATTGGAAACCTACAAAAACTAAACAACCTCAGAGAAACTATTCAGGGAATAATGGAGGTAAATAATATAGTTTCCTTAAAAGAAGTCACAATAATAAAATGATTATTTATACTTGAGTGACATTGAATGGAAAAACAAGAAACCAAACCTGTTTTGGAAAGGATTCTTAAGATCCTGGACTCCTTTATTGGAAATGATTCTTTAATCTATAATCTCCTTATAAGAAAAGAATTCTTGAAATCATAATCTTCTTTTAGGAAAAGGATTATTGAAATCATAATTAAATAAAATCTTTTCTAGCGCACATAATATATAATGTCCACAATTATTTTTTTTCCACAACTAGAAATATAATCACATTTAATTAAAGCAAGTGCGATATGCATGAATATTAAAATAAAATCTGCTAGACGTGTTGTGATCTCTGCGATCTATTGTGACACCTTTAAATTGAAACTAAATAGATTGTGCACTAATCCGAATGAATAAGTTGACAAAACCAAAATACTTGCACAATATTTATTTGATGTGAGGTTCTTATGCATTGGTTGCAAAATTATGTTTCTAAATTACCTTAGAAAGGCTTTTATAACTTTAGTTGGCTGCAGATTATAGATAAAAAGTTTGTTGCTATTATTTATAACAAAAAAAATCAAAATATAAATGATCTAATCCTTTCTTTAGTCATTTTGAATTGATAATAAGAGTCATATGAAATAATTAAAAAAAAAGAAAAAAAAAAAAAAAACCTCAACAAATGTTCATCATTAAATGAAATAAAATATAGTTATATATTAATTTGAACGAAGGCGAGGAGGAATGAGAGGTTGAATCCAAAACTTCTTCAATCCTATGTCATTCCAATCACAATCCTAATCATAAATTTGCGAAATTTGTTAGGATATTGGGTGACTCGTGAAATATCTAGTTGATAAATATTGGGCATGTACTATGTTTTCGAGTTCACTTCCTTTTTTCACTAGGATGGAAGTGGAAATATGGCCCGAGAAAATGGATCTCTTCTTCTAGCTTTTAATTTGGACAAATCTCATCTCCGACTTATCAAACCTAAAAACAGTGCTAATGTGTGCTAATATAGTACCCTAATTTAACCTTCCTTAAAATCTATGACAATGTCGTGTAGTAGCACAATACTTTTCTAACCAATTAATTATTCACTATGCAGGGGTTTTTGATGATTAAAGTAAATAAATAAATAAATAAAGACAAACAAATTAAATCTGAAGTCGAGAGAATATGAGATAAATTGGATTGAAGGATCATTCATCACCACTAAGCATGAATTGCAAATCAATAGAAACACTTCATAACTTCCTACCCTCTTGATCATATCAGCTCAAAAGATATCATAAGCTCGATAAATTCGATCTCTCCTTATTGTATCATTGGATTAAACAAGCTCTTAACCCAATTCCTTATCTATTGAACAACCTAGAATAACATCTCTAGATTTAATTTAATCAAAGCAATAAGCAGCGAGAAACACAATGAGTCAAGGCTAAACTCATAAGCTCGGTTTAGTTATCATGAGTGTTTATTTCCATTGCATGCAAGCAAGCAACTTACCACTAGTTGTTTGGATTAGTAAAGCGATTACGTACTAGACAACCCAAATTGGTAATAATAGCTCAACACAACTATTTAATTGCGCACTTAAATAATTAAAGAATTTCTATTAAGGCATTTATCATAGAGAATAAAACAAATAATCAAGAGGAATCGGAAGAAAGAAAAGTGCAACTATTCTATTAATTATCACAAAACATGTCTAGGGCTTTGAAATCACCCCAATCACAAGAGAATTAGTTATCCATAGAATAAAACCATAATTGTATTCATGGTAACAAATAATAAAAGGAATCAGAAAAACTTAGGAAAATTTGGATGATCAATGGAGTTGCTACAATCACCTCCAATTCTCTTCTTCAAGCCCCTCTCAGTCTCTCTTTCTCTCTATATTATTGAGTATTTTTGTTATCTTTGTTCTCTATCTAAAAATAGCTGAAGACATCTAATTATAGTGTTAGGGTTGTTTGAGGGTAATTAGAGTAATCCTATCATATAAGACTTGACAAAATCAAAGTAGATTAGGATTTAGGACCCATGCCGTAGGGCCAAAAAATCCATACTTTGGCACGCCTTGCATCCGTGATGACCCAAGAGTGTCATGCGATGCCAAATTCCCCATTTCGCGACACCAAAATACTTCCAATTTCGAGCATGATAAATTATGAATCGGATGAAGTCATAAACATATGAACTATAGCTCTTCGAGTTAGCTTTCTAATGGTGCAAGAATGACGCAAATATGAGGTCTACAGCTCGAGTTATTGTCAAAATACCCAAATATGCTCTAGACTCAAACATATTCTAGGATTTGCATTCCACACTAAATGTCATAACTTCCTCGTTTCAACACTAATTCTCGAACCATTTGTCTCCAGTCATTGCAAATTTCATCGCCAACATCATATTTCATCCAAATATTACTTTTACGTATTTACGACCTGGAAACACACCAAACATACATGTGATCCCGAAAAATACATTTATGAAACAATTAAGTCAAATTATACAATTAAACCTAATTTCCCACAAATGATATCGATAAACCACTAAGTATAAGTGCATTTTCAAGCACTTATCACATGCCACTCAAGATCCTTAAAAATATGATTAAGTAGGAAGAGATCTCCATTTGAGTTAAGCAGACTATTGAATATGAAACTCAGTTTGGGTCCAAGACTATTTGGGTTTATCACTTTAACCCATATAGATTGCTAGCTTAATATTTCTTCCTAAGCTCAATGTAAAACCCATATTTGGTCCATGTATTTAGTTCAAATAAAAGGCATTGTAACTAGAAAGACCTTGTAAAAATATCTCATTTATTAGGGAATTGTTAGGTAGGTATTAATTGTGGTAGGTGATGGATGATATTTATTAGGGGGTTGTTTGTCTAAGCTTATGAAAATTAGCTTATAAGCAACAATTGCTTATAAGCTAAAATTAACTTATAAGCATTTGAAATTTTAAGCAATTACGTGTTTGGTTAAAGTACTTATAAGTGACTGATAAGTAATTGACGTGTTTGGTAAAATGTGGCTTATAAGTACATTTTATTATAAAATTACTAAAAAAGGTACTACATTAAACAATGGCATACTATGGAATTTTAAAATTAAATAAGGATAATATGGTAATATACTTGGTCAAACTAGCTTATAAGCAAAGTGCTTATAAGCCAAAAAAAAAAAAAAGTACCTCCCCCCCAACTTATTTTTTTTAGCTTATAAGCTCAACTTATAAGCTCAAAAAAATTATAAACAAACAGGTCAGCTTAATTTTAGAGCTTATAAGCAAGTTTGACCAGCTTATAAGCTTAAACAAACACCCCCTAGGGTAGGTGGTAGCTGGGAGTTAATAGTGTAAAAGGCTTCTTTGACCACTATAAAAGGGGATGATCCCTAGCCATTTTTTACAAGCCAAATTTGAGAAGTAATAGTAATCATCTCTTCAAACACTCTTCTCCTCTCAATTCTTAGTTACTCTTGAGTGTATCAGATCCCACATCGCCTGGTTGTGAAAGAGTGAAGTGCCATATAAGTAATGGTCCCTTACCCACATGCGAGGCACCTTTTGCAGCATGGGCTGCAAGAGGACAAAACCGTGAGGCCCGTGAGCTTGAATGGGCCGGGCCAGAGCGGACAATACCTTGCAAGGGAGGTGAGGTATTACACAAATTCTTTTAGGATTCCTTTCCTGTTTTTTTTATCTACCGTTTCAGATTACGAATATTTCCGCCAAGTCTTTTCTCCGCAAAAGAGAAACGCACATGTTCCTTCTTGGAAAGTGAAGAAGTGTTTCTGAGAAATCATAGTTTATATGCCAGGATAAGTGGATTACATGTGAGCTTTGCTGGCATATTGGTAGAAACTGATACGGCAAAACATAAAGAATTGGTTTCAAATCACAAGGTATCACACATGGATAGGTTATTTAAATATAAAACGTGTTTCATGACTACTGTTTATGAATAAAAATAAACATGAAGATGGCTAAACAATAAATAAACGGGCCTCATTAAAGGTAAATTCAAGTCTAGATAGCTGGTCACTTCCCCAACGGCTAAGGCCACTTAGATTGACTATTTAGTTCTAACTTACTGAGAGAAGTCTTTAATTAGTGTCAAGAACAGAACAAGGTTGAACAGGATAGAAAAAAAATGGGTGAAGAGCAAAGAATCATTGTTCCAAAAGTGAAACTGGGAAGTCAAGGATTTGAGGTAAGATTTAATGTCATATTAAAAATGTAAACATGGTATTATCTCCATGCTCAGATTTTCACATCATATTGAGATCTGAAGATGTTTTTATTGCTAATTTAATTTTGTGATATGCATTTTCTTAAAAGGTGTCAAAGTTGGGATTTGGTTGCTCCAGCCTTACTGGAGTGTACAATGATCCTATGCCAGAAGAGGCTGTCATTTCTCTCATCAAACATGCATTTGAGAAAGGAGTCACTTTCTTTGACACAGCAGATACCTATGGACCCCATACTAATGAGATTTTGATTGGAAAGGTAAAAGCACATGCTCCTAAATTCTCCATGGTTTGGTTGCAGTTAATTTTCATGATATCAGCAAATATTGTACCTACTGTTCATTACTATGTATTTGCAATAGTCACATTTTTTCAGAATGATAAGGATGAATACAATTAAGAACTTATGCTCCCAAGTTTGTGTGTTTTCTACTGGGATGTAATTAATATTCTTAATTCTATTTAGTGGGGTTCAGATTTCTCTCTCTTCCAGCTCTTTTTACTCGGGTGCAAAGCGCATCCCATAACTCATTTGGATAGATATCCAACGTTCAAGTGAATCTGAGTCTCACGAAATGGGGTTGGTAGGACAATACGTGATGAATGTAGTTCTTCGAACCCACTAAATGAGGTGGATTGGAGATATTAGAAGGGGATATTACAAAGCTGATTAAACAAATTTTCCTTACTTTCCAGGCTTTGAAGCAGCTACCTAGAGAGAAGGTTCAGTTAGCCACAAAATTTGGCATTGTCAAATTTGATAATACTAGTATTATTATACATGGTACTCCTGAATCTGTTCGCTCCTGTTGTGAAGCCAGTCTAAAGCGACTTGAAGTTGAATACATCGATCTCTATTATCAGCACCGCATTGACACATCAGTACCTATTGAGGATACTGTAAGCTCTGCTGCATCATTTGTTCTGTTTTTCTTCTCATGAACAGCCATTCCTAATCTTTTAGCTTAAGTTCAAATTAAGGTGACAGTACATTATTGTTATTCTTTTTCCTAGATGCAAGAACTTAAGAAGTTGGTGGAAGAGGGAAAAATAAAGTACATTGGTTTATCTGAAGCTAGTCCTGATACTATAAGGAGGGCACATGCAGTTCATCCCATTACCGCTCTTCAAATAGAGTGGTCACTTTGGAGTCGTGATATTGAGCAAGAAATTGTCCCACTTTGCAGGTTTCTTTATATCTAATAACCAAAAATCTTGCTAAAATTAAGCATCAATTTTACATGTTACCATTCTCATTTATATTCTAACTTCTAAGCAGAACAGTATTTGCAGTTCCAAATTTTTATTCTGCTTCTATAATTGGTTTGGTTTAGTTTAGTGTTCTATGTTACTTCTGTTCAAATCTCTGTAAGCTCAGGTTTTCTGCTTCTTTCAGTGTAACTCATACAGGCTGAAAGTGTATGATTTTCTAATAGCTGTCTTTTTTGCATATGGTGAACTTTACAGGGAACTTGGAATTGGGATAGTTACATACTGTCCTCTTGGCCGTGGTTTTTTTTGTGGCAAGAAAGTTGTGGAAAGTGTACCTTCAAACAGTTTTGTGGTATGGCATTGCCACATATATCTATTGCTTGCCTTATTTAAGTTTATCTACCCCTTCAATACTTCATCAACTCAAGTTCACAAATACATCTTTACATAGTCGGAGCACTTGATTTGATAACTTCATCTTGTTTCCTCCGCAAATAATCTTTTATTAATTGATGGAAAGTGTGATTGCTAAAAGTGTTCTGGTATGCCACTGGGACTTTGTGTTTATTTAACCTTCAATGCTTTATAAACTCAAGTTAACAAATGCGTGATCTTTATGGAGTTAGTGCATTTTGATAATTTCATCTTGTTTCTTATGCAAATAATCTTATTAACTGATAGCCAACCTTTCCTTTAGGAATCACACCCTAGATTTCAAGGAGAGAACTTTAACAAAAACAAGATCTTATATTCGCGTATAGAAAAGTTGGCTGAAAAACATGGATGCACTCCTGCCCAACTTGCACTTTCATGGATTCTTCACCAAGGAGACGATGTAGTGCCAATTCCTGGTAACTGAATCTTTTCCTTTGTTCTTCTTACACTTTATTGAAGATGTCAAATGTGTTATTTGTCCGCTTTGGGGTTTCAGCAAAAGTCCTGCATCATGACCCAGAAGGGCCTTAAATTTAACTCCCTTTTTTTTTTTTTGGGTGCAGGGACAACGAAGATAATAAATTTTGACAATAATATTGGTTGTGTTGAAGTAAAGCTTACAAAAGAAGATTTAGAAGAGATTGCTGCTGCAATACCCGTGGAAGAGGTGGCGGGGAGTAGGTTTAAAAATGATAGTTTTCTTCGTTACTCTTGGAAGTTTGCCAACACACCACCCAAAGGATTTGTATTAATTAATTGATGAGCTTTTGAGCTAGCTTAGATATACCAAGTAATGGTTGAATAATAAATGCAGAAACTTTCAAATCTCACATGCAACTAATGCAATATTAAAAAAAAAAAAAAAACCCAGATAGAGATTCAGTTTTGTTTTCAATTTTAAAGTTATTATGGCTGCGTTCGTTTATAAAACTTCCATATTATTTTCATTTTCTGAACCTTGTAATGCGGGATATTTGCATTCATACACAATTTTCTAGGGATGAGCAGAAATTTAGGATAGAACCAAAACTGACGAATACTCGGGGGGTAGCAATCAAAATCAGTCCTAATAGGGTAGGTTCTGGTTCTTAAAAATTGGAACTGGGCCTCCCCGATTCTGATTCCGATTCTGATAAAAATCTATAGTACCCAAACCTGATCACCCTTACAATTTTCAGCCAATTTGACTAGAGAAAGGGAGAAAACAGTTTAGAGAAAAAGATGATGTGGGTCTCGCCTTTAATATATAAAATTAAGGTTTTGAATATAAAGTTATTTATTTCCTTGTACTTTTTATATTTTTTCTTATTTGTCTTAAAACAAAAACTTTTCTTTTAAATTAAGATTTTTAACACAAGATTATAAATAAAAATAAAAATTTATATCTTTCACGCAAACTTTTTGAGACGAACATAACAAATGGTACTTTGAAGGGGTTTTATTGGTAATGTAAGTGAGAAATATCGTAATTTTTATTATGTTCTTTGTGTTTTTAGACAAACATGTCGAACATGTTTTTATTTTTCACGTTTCAAGTATTGCTTCCAAACAAATATATTGGACGTTCATTTTCATTTTTCACATTTTACAATCATTTTCAATATTCTCAAAAACATATTTAAAAATAAATAAATACACAAAATTCATAAAAGAACACATTCTATAATTTTCGTAATAATGAAATATTGTAAAACAAAATTGTGGATGATTTTATAAGTGATTGAAGTGATAAATTTGATAATTTATCAATCAAAATTTGTCATTGCGTTTGTTTCCCTATTTTATCCTATCCTACCCAAAATATATATGTTTCATTATTCTCAAAATATAATTCTATCATATTTAACTACTATTTTTAAAACCCCTAGGTTTGTTAATTTAGCTAAACACCTCCTACAATAAAACATTGAAAATTAACAAAAACAGCCCCGCCCCACCCACTCATTAAATGCCGAAAGTCAGCCACCACCGCCGGAGGGTGTTAGTAAATTAACAAACCTAGGGGGTGTTTTTGTTCATTTTCAAATCTTACCCTCATAATAACAATCCAACTCAACTTTTTCAAAAATAATACTCAAAATACTCTACCAAACACTTATGAAACTTGTGGATCATGCAAGTAATGTTCTGTTCTGTTTTTATTTTTTGTTTCTTAAATTTTATGCTTTGTAAAAGGTGTGAGCGTCTAATGCAAGAAGTTGGGGAAAAAAGGTCTTCATTTTGAAAAGGGTTAAATGACAATAATCCCCTCAGGTATAATAAAAATTCTTATGAGGTTTCTAAAACAATAAAAATCTTATGCCATTGAGTTTTAAGTGTTAAAATAAGTGATAGGATGACAATTTGATAATACTTACAAACTTTTAACAATATAAATATTAACAGTTCCCTAACTGTTTATAAATGGAAGGAGAATTTTTTTTTATTTTAGAAATCTCAAAGAGATTTTTGTTATTTTATCATATTTCAATAGGATTAATGTAATTAGCTCTTTTGAAAATCTCTTTTTGTTTGATAATTTCTCGCTTAAACAAATTTTAAATCTTATATTACTTTTTCGTATAGGATTTTTTAATTAGATTTGCACTGTTTATTTCGTTACGTGAATAAAAAGTCTTTTCAAGTTATATGCATATAATTATTAAAATATTATTTTTAGACAGATTTACACAACTCAATTTTTTTAACATTGCTTTCAAACAAAGATGAAGATAATCTAAATTAATCAATTTTGATATTTTCAATATTTTAATAAACATATATATATATATATGTGTGTGTGTGTGTGTGTGTGTGTCCCCACAATCATTTCATGATATTCTGTGAGTATAAATAGGGTGGAGCCAAAAAGTTTATTTTGGGGGCCAAAAACTATTTTCAATGGATGGAGGAGCCAAAGGTAAGTTACAACTTACACATACACGGAGCCAAAGGCAAGTTACAACTTACAACTTACACATACACGGAGCCAAAGATCGACTTGAAAGAAAATTAAAACCCCTCTAGTTCTGGATATAACTACAAACCCCCTGCCGTTTGTCAGAGTCTATCCAACTTGTTACCTTAACATTGCTAGGAGCAAACAAATCGAATATTGAATCTATTCAAAAACCTATGATAATGTGATGAAATGACTTATATATCCTCAATCTTTATGAGATCTAATAAAGACACAAAAGACGAAAAAATTGATTATAAGACTGCAAAAGCAGACACAACAACTACTTCTTTCCAATCTTCTCTATTATACTAGCCCACAACTCCGTTCTTTGTACCACAGACACCATTTTTTTTTTCCAACCCATAAATCACGTTCTAGTTCAAACAAAAATTCTACCTTCCATAACTATACAAAATATACTCAAGCCTTTCACATTATAAGCTGTAAAAAGCATCAAAACAAGTTGTGACAATAATAATACTCCAAGCATTACAGAAACACAGTACACTGTTAACTAAACAATAATTCATTGACAAAATACATGCCCTTATGCATAGCTTAGAGTTTCAATTGCATATCAAAAATAATAATAATAATAATAATAAATCATAATATGCATATCCATGCACATCATACATAAACTAGTGCCATTTTCTCAAAAGAAATATAGCTGGTGTATATGGTATTATCTGTCAATTAACAAAAAAAAAAAAAAAATTATATATATATATATGCTTGCTTTCAAACTTGTATCATTCTCCACTTGTTTTTTTTACATCAACCTGGAAATACATATAAATGAAATTCATGAATCATATAAAATTTGAATGTTTTATGTTATATAATGGTCAAATATGTAAGAAAAACAACCTGGTGGTTCTAATTTTGCGAAGTCTGACTTGCTTAGCTTGGTAGAGGTGGTGGATTTGAAGATGCTTAACTTCCCATAACCATTCTGGCTCCACCTATGACATCAAATCCTCTTCCTCTCCCTAACATAGAAAATATTCGACTTTGCATAACAATACCAGGATTGGATGAACCTTCTTTGATGTTGTCTAATGAAAGAAACACGTTATAAATATGAAAAATATATAATGTGAGTTGTAGCATGATAAGAGCTTGAAAATACATATTTACTTAGTGGTTTATGGGGAGTATTTGTGAGAAATTAGGTTTAATTATGTAAAGTTGCTTAATATTTTCATAATTGTCTTTTATGGGATCACGGGTGGGTTTGAGTGTTTTTTAGGTTATTAGCGACAAATGTTATGCTTAGATGAAGAATCATGTCAGCAATGGAATGAGTGACGAGTAGGAACAAACAGATCGAGAATCAAAGTTGAGATGAAGTTGTTATGGAGCTTTGAAGTAAAGAGGAGATGGTAGATTACGCTCCAGTTTGAGCATGCCTCAGTGTTTCAACAATAACTTGATATGTAGACCTTGGATTAAGATGATTCTTTGACTGTTGGAAATCTAACTCAAAGGCTACATTTCATATATTTACCACTTCTCCAGATTCTATAGTTATTGTGCTCAAAAATCACCATCTCTAAACTGTTGAGGATCGATGCAAGAGTTGAACTAAAGAAGAGGAAGTTATCACTGTGCCATATAACACTTTGTCTAGAATCAACCATGCCGCGGGTGCTGGGGCACAGTCACGATAGCTGAAAATTTTTCTTCCATTTTTTATTAGGAAACTGGGGTTAAGAGTCATAAACTAAATAGAATTAAGGAAAATAAAACTCTAACCCTTGTGGGATATAAATAGAAGGCTTTTAGCATTATCTTAGGGATTCTTGGGAGAGAATAAGAGAAGAAAAATTTGTAGAGAAGAAAATGATAGAATTTCTGGAGCTTTGATTCGCAATACAAAGAAGTTTTTCTTGTTCCTTTCTTATAGACTCATGATAATTGTTTTAATAAAGATGATTGTTTATTTCATGTTTATTATGAACTGACTTTATTTTCCTAGGGCTAAGATGTAGCCCAATCTCTTGATTATGTGTTGATTTATGTATGTTGGTTTTCATTAAGATTTCTTCCTAAGTTTTATTATTATGTCTAACGCTTTTGATTTTTAAGGGCCAAAGAATTGAATGAACTAATGGACTATGTTGAGATCGAGAGATGATACTTTGCTACGGTAGTAAAACATAGGTTGAGCGAATACTAGAGATAGGTTACTGCAACTTGTGAGGTTTTGGTAAACTCCATAGAGCATAATGATCTCTAATTTCTTAAATCTGATTAGAGATAATTCGGGTTAGTAATTAAGAGTTAATTTGATAATTGTTCAAGAGAAAGCTATTGGAAATTTAGGGAGTTTGACCTATAGGAAGAGCTTAATGAAATTAGCATAAGTGATCAATACATATGAATAAGAGTTTGTGTGGAATCTATGCCCAAGTTCTAATCATCTTGCACTAAACCCAAAGTTTTATTTAGTTGTTCTCTTTTCAGTTCTCTTTTAAATTCAATTGTTTACTTTAATTTAGATTTTTCTAGATAAAAATTGTGATTAATCAAATAGTAATTAGATAGTAAATTTTGGTAATTGATAGTAGTAATTTCCTTGGGTTCGACATCCGTATTCGTACACTTTATTACTTGCACAATTTCGTACACTTTATTACTTGCACGATTTCGTACACTTGCAAAAATCACAACGTAGCATAAAACAATTAACTCAACTGCAACATAAATTACTTGAATTTTTCTTGGTCTCCTTACTTTTTTTTACTTATACTAGTTGATTGAGGTAGTAGTGGCATGCTTGCTGAACCAAGGTTTGAAACCTACAATTTATCATAGATAATAAGTAACAATGGAATATGAAATATTAACTTAAAAATTACAA